TGCCAATTCATGCTACATCAAAAATCTGGATGTATCTGACTTCATTATTTGACTTCGAAGGGTGCTCATGTGGTACTTAGTGTTGGGAAACTTCCAATATTTTTTTTTTGATAAAAACAAAACTACTTGAAAGCAGTGTGGGTCTATGGCCAAACCACAGCTGCTCTGAGGTCAGCTTAGAACCAGTCACTATTAATTGAGTAGTCTAGTTGCTGTTGCCACATAAAATCCTTCCAAAACTACCAAGGTCCAGACCTCCATGTCCTCATGCTAGTTACGGCCACACTCATTACATTTTGTTTGATTAAGTCTCTTTAGGAAAATATTCAAATAGTATAAATATTCAAAAAGTATTTTCTCTTGGGTAATGTCACGCTCTAGCTAAAGTTGGAAAGGCTGAATGTTATATTTTAGTTAAACTAGATATTTAATGTTTATATTTTGGCCAAAAAGTGACTCTGTGTTTTTTTTAATGGAATATTATTAAATATTCTATCGATTATAGATAACATATAATATCCAGGTTACTCCTGTCCCTCATAATGCTTTGAGTGACTTATGGACATAATTTATGGCTTAACAGATGTTCTGTTACATGCTAATAACATCCTAACATGACAGAAATATCTAAACAAATAAAAATGCAAATTGTTGGAATGCTTGTGTTTCAATATTTAGACTCAATTTTTCAACAGAAACCTGAACCTACGCTCTAGTCAGAGGATTCTATTTACAGCCTTTACAAATTACTTACGGTAAAGAGCCAAAACCATACAATGCATGTCACCACAAAGCAATGTTCAATGTACAAAGACTTTAATGAATTTGTTCAACAAAAAAAAGCAGTATATGATAAATGCTAATTTCTGCTAGTGACCCCGGTATTTCCACCTTGCTATGTTAGCACTTAGCGGGATTAGCTCGGCACTATACTGGAGATGTCAGCTCCAGGTTAAATACAGATATTTTAAGCTCCTAACAGGCCTATAAGTAACGTATTTTTTAATTTGTATTTACAGTGTTATAGCAACTCATTGTTTAAAAGCTTAAACTCAAAGTCTGTCTTGTGTAATGTAAAGTGAATGTAAAGTGTAATTCAGATAAACAGAGTGTGTTATGTTCAACTGGCAATTCGACATGTGGTTGGACTTTTAATGGCCCGGATTTCTACGATAACAGCTAGGCTTTTTCAAGGAGTCATTATGAAGCTACATTGTTTTCTGATTCACTTTGTTTTCTTGAGAGGTTTATGCTTGCAAAATTCTTGTTCGTGCCATCCTTTGATCTGCACCCAGCTGTAGTGACAGCTGCAAACTGCACATTGTCCAAGAATGTCTCAGAGACATCTGATGACACATAAAACAATAAGCGCAAGTTAAACCGTAAGCATACTTTCTTTTACTCTTCTAAAAACAGTAATGAGTAACACTTCCCTTCTCGATATTTTGGCCCTAATTTAGAAATGGAATATGTAATAAAAATGGTATAATCTAGTGGTCATGTGAAAATTGGTATATATAACTTTTTAATGTTGAGTAACATTCTTGAATGATCCGTCACCCAAATAAAACCTGTTCAGTGGTGGTCCTGTGGGGATCCTGACGATTGGTGAGTGGGGCTAACAAATTACGCAGAAAAACAGATGGACTACAATCTGCAATTGTAGGAATACAATTAGGACCTATATGGTAAAAGAGTGTAGATACAGGGTAGGTTCCTAGATGCTACTCACTCCAACTCCATGAGTGTGTTGGTTGGTTAAACTATTCCTTTAACATTAGCTTTTCACAGACGTTTAGTTCCATACCTGCTAAAGTGAGTGAGTCAGTATTGGCTACTGTTGGCAGATCCCCCCGTGCCAACTAGGCCGTGCTTTTCTGTGCTGGTCTCTGCACCACGGCCTGTGGGACGTGCTGTCAGATAAAGTGCCTGGATGAATGTGGAAACCTTCAGAGAGCTAATAGCTAATAGAGCCAGGCTGATAGAGGCCTATGGTGGCTCCCAGCTGAGTGGCAGAAGCAGCAACACTCCAGAGCACTCAGGCCCTTAGCTCTGAATCATCACTGCTTTTCATCCAGATAGGCCCAGGCTTACAGCAGCAGGCTATGACATCTGTGTGCGCAGCAACACAAACCACTTAGACTGCTCAGTTCCTAGCAAAACACTCCAGCATACACATATTAATTTTAGTCTGAATTCAAAAAGCCTGTAGGAATGTTGAAGAAGCAGAGAACCTTCAGTGGAAAGCTCTTGTATGCTGCTGAAGTAAATGTGGCCTTCAAATCTAAATCACCCCATAATGTTCATATGATCATTCTGATAGATTGTAACACACTACAGGAAGTGTAGGGGTGATATGGCTTCTACTGTTGTACCATTAAAAAAGTTTGTCACACAGACAGAAGTTTGAATGAAGGCGGTCAGGGGCAGTCAGACCCAATTTACTGGGTTGTATTCTATAGAATAGAACACAACTGAAAAACATACAGAATGACAGACAGAATAGAACAGAACAGGACTGAATAGAATTGAATACCATAGATTACAAGATAAGGGAAGGATATAGATTATATTTGTGCAACATACTACCAAATAGAAAGAGAGTAAAACAATATAGAACAGAATGGAATAAAACAGACTAATATTGAATAAAATACAGTAGAATAGAAAACAGATATATAGTACCAAATACACTCCACAGACAGAATAGAGTGGAATGGAATAGACTAATACAGAATAGAATACAGTACAGAATATAGCAACATAGAGTAAAGTAGAATCAAACAGAACAGAATAGAGCAGTTGTCATGCATTCGGCAAGAGGTCAAAGGAAAACGGACTCCATTTCCCAGAATCCCTCGGGAGATCACGTCACGGCACAACGTCCTTCAGAGATGGGGGACAACACGGACTCCATTACCCAGAGTTCTACGGAAACTCACGTGATCACTGACTCTCAAACACGCTCCTATCAGAGATCTAGTTCCCCTGAATACTGATGTGTCACACCTGTGTAGGATGTCATATGACTCAAGCTGTTTAGTTTAAAAGCCCGGGCTTTAGGTAGGCAAATTGCGAAGTATTGTTTCCTTGAGAACTACTGAGCGTTTGTATTTATATGACCGATACTCTGTTTTTGACCTTTGCTTTGTTTGTCTGGATTCTGCCTCTTGTCTTACCCTTTGGATACTTTTGCCTGTCTTTGCTGACCTGTGTTTTTGACCCCTTTTCCTGTTATTTGGATTACGTTTTTGCTCTGCCCTCTTTGGATTGTTCGCTTGGTATTTTTTGAATACACTTTGGCCTAGAGTGCTTTAAACTGCTGCTCTCGTTATTTTTTATCCGCGAGCGTCTGTTTTTTTCTGTCAACACGTTACAGCAGTATAGAACAGAATGAAAGCAATATAGAATAAAATATAGTGGAATAGAATATAGCTAGATAGTACACAATATTCTTTGTTCTATACATAAAATACAATAGAATGGAATAGTAGTAGAGAATATATCAATGTATAATAAAACAGAGTAAAACAGAATAAAGCAATAAAATATATTGCTATATTCTTTACTACTCTGTCTGTCCTAAAGATAGAATATAGCTATGTAGAATTAAATAAAATCAAAATAGAATAAAGTGGAACAGAACAGAATACAGCTCTACAGTACTGATTATTCTCTATTCTACAGAATAGAATAGAATAGAATAGAATGGAAGTGTGATAAACCAGCTGTATTTCTGCATGTAGAGCCTCACAGCCCATCATTAAGCTGAATAAAGCAGCATATTATACTTAGAGCTGGTGGAAGTGAACGGTGTACATGAGTGTCCTCACAGACACTGCTGCTGTGTGATGCTGCTTTTGATAAAGAGATAAAGATTATGATTGAGGATGGCAGTGTAGAGAGCTTCACAGGGAAAGCAATAGCTGGTAATAAGAGTCATTATGGACAGAAAATGGAATGCCTAAAACAAGACCTATAGATTCTGCTGAATGCCTGGTGTGATCAATGCGCTTTAGAATAATGTGTCTCTGAGTGCGGTGACAACCCAGAGGCGTTTATTTACTGAGGAAAGAGCCTTGAGGGACTAAATAAAACCATGTTTTCTGGACATATTAGAAGTGGAGTCTATGTGATATGTAGGAATACACCATATACCCATTAGGTAAATAATTATAATTTGCATATTGCTGCTGTTGGAACAATTTAAACATGATTTAAAAATGCTATGTAAATTGTCATTTACATTGTGTGTAAATTTAATGATGAATAAACCAATTGATCACTGCTGACTTGATAAGGTGCATTCTTCTAAGTTGTTTTGTCAACTTGGGTCAGCGCCACCAGTGCATCATGATTATATATCATTATGTTATAGAATCCATTATATAAATTTCTAGACCAATCAACTTCCTTGCAAAGATGGAGCATAAAGTACACCAGACACCAGTGTGCTTGTCCACCCCGACAACAACCTTGCTGATACTGCCACAGATGAGTCCCCAAAAAAGATTTCAATTAAGAGTGTCTACATTTCAGCCTTTGAACAGGTGGCAAAAGTTTGGGACACCAGTGGCAGTTGTGAGCTCTGCATTTCACAGCTTCAGTGATACAGTCGGATTAAATGTAATGAAAAAATACTCTTCTGCTAAGATGTTGTTTGGTTAGGTTAGCAATGACACTCCAGATATTAAAATTTGAGGATGTTATTTATAGGAAAAGCCTATGGGAGGAGTGTTTTTAGCAGTGTATTGTTGCAACAAGTTTTCCCCGAATGTGTGTCCACGTTACAATGTATGTCACAGTACGCATAATACTTAAGACCAGGCTGCACTACTAGGCTAGACAAATATAGCACAGCAAACAATTAACATGCAACATAAACTTTGTTAAATTAGCATTGTAGCCTACATGCTTCACAAATGCTTAGAAAATCAAAGCACTTCTGTTTGTTTTCTGCACATCCCTCATGAATCAAAGCTGCCTGATTAATGCCCTACCTTTGTCGAGCGAGGAGTCCGGCGTACTGAAGTCCATGAGGCTGGACATATCCGTCTGGAAGCAGATATCGGACACCACAGCCTTCTGCCTGTGGTGGACCACCGGATCTGCGGGGGAAAAAAGGACAGATTACTCAGTAACCTGCAGCAACATTACACAGCATGCAGCAACATTAACACAGGTGAGCTATGGAGCAGCCAGGAACATCTGATTACCATCTCCATATTCGTTCTAGTCGATTCAGTACTTTACCATTCTATTCTGCTCAACAGTACATGTCCAAATGTGTCCAGATGCTCCTTTTAATTAGAGAATACAGCCTCTTTAAGGTGAATCCATTGCTGACACATGCAATCAATTGTGCACATAGCTTGTGTAATCTCCACAGAAAAGCACTGCCAATAAAACTGGATTCTGAAGCAGCCTCACACGAGCCTAAGGTCACCATGCCCAATACAAAGAGTCAGCTAGAGGGGTATAAAGCCCCCCAGAATTGGGCTGTAGAGCCGTGGAACTGTGTTCTTTGAAGTGTAGTTTCATTCAATACCTATGGGATGAGTTGGAGTGGCAGCTGTCATCCAACATCACTACTACAATCAAATTCTCACAGCAGTGTTCAACCACATAGTGTTAAGCCTTTTCAGAATAGTACAGGCTGTTACTGCAGCAAAGGGGACAACACCCTGTTAATACCCTTGATTTCTACTTTGTTCTACACTATTACATATAGTGTCTATTCTATTCTATTCTATTCTATTCTATTCTAAGCAAAATTTTTCTATATCATTCTTTCTGTCTCTTTCTGCTCTGAATCATTTCTTTCTATCTTTCTATTCTATTCTATTCTATTCTATTTTATTCTATTCTATTCTTCGTCAGACTCAGTACAGGCTGAGCAGCTTTGACATTTTCCTCCTCCGGAGTGCTGGAGGTTGGGTAGGAGCCATCCTCCTCCGGGCAGGAGGTGTTAGAGGGCTAATGCATGTGAGTCACTGCTAGCGTCTCCCATCTATTACCACAGAACTGTAATTAACTCTGTTACAACGCCACATAGCAGAAAACGCAGCACATCCACTGAATGGCCTTCATAAGCAAATACTCATCCTCCAACACCCGCAGCCCACGCCGCAGCTGCAATCAGCACCGCATTGACTGTGACAAGTAGCAATTTCATTTAGGAAGAAGAACAGTGTGCAGAATGATGATTTTTTTTTCTTTAGAACACTGGGGTGAGGTGAGGATGCTAGCAGGGTGCAGCGTGTGAAGATAAGAGCAGTCTCTCGCTAAGAGCTCCACCAATCATCCATCATCTGCCGTATGTTCTGTAAGAATTCTCACAGCATTAACGCCACCGGAGACCGGCACACACACTCCTACTACATCACACGGGACAGAACAAGGGCGGGATATGGCGATGTCAGCAAGCTGCACCGGAGACACCATTAATAAACGTGACTGAAAATTGGCACTGTGCATTGCTCCAATGTCAAGTCCCCTATATTATTACACACACACTCTGCAGTACACATAGTGATGCCACTGGCCAGTACACATAGTGAAGCTAGTTTTCTACTTCATCAGTATGTTGGTTTTGCATTTGAGACATAAACATCGATCCAGCCTTACTTTTTGGGCCTGTGCATGTGACATTAATATGTAAAGGATACTTACTCAATGTAGATTGTTTTTTTGTTAAATTTCACATTGACTACAAGGCCTTGCCTATGACATATATAACCCTTAACGGTCTTGCTCTGGCATATCTTGACAATCTCATGTGACATGGCCTGTCCAGACCAGTTTGGTCAGCTGAAACAGACTTACTGCAAACTCCTAGGATCGCTTAGAGCTCAGTTGGTGGAAGATCTTTTTTTTATAGCTCCTAAACGTAGGAATACCACTTTAGAAAATATTAGGAATGGAAGTTTTATTGGATTGGTTTTTAAGTCCAGATTAAAGCCATCTTTATACAGGTTAGATGTCTAGCATATTGGGGCTCATTCATTTTTTGCAATTTTGCTGAAGTTCCATTTAGGTCTGGGTATTTTACCTCTCTAATGTTTTACATCCCTGCTGAAAAATTAGGATTAAAACCTCTATTGGAGGTGTTAAATTTGGATTACAGACCAAGAGTTTTTGGACCAATCTGGGCAAGCCTTCTGGTGGAGGTGGACCTTCTCTGGACCATTTCAGGGCACTTGTTGTTGCAAGTCTATTAATTCACATATAATCAAAACACTAAAATAACTGTACAGCAACCTCTTAGCTACCCCTTTCATGCAGCCTGAATTGAACTATGTGACTGTATAAAAATGGGTAACAGAGAAAGCAGTTAGCTGCTATCATGAAATGAGTTAACTACGGTTGTATTTGATAGGTTTCATAAATCAAAAAACAGCTGCAACCTTCGCTAAGTTTAATGTGCTTCGTGAGACAGGCACCAGGTCATTTGGGTAATTAATTTAGGGGAAGTGTACCCAGTTGGCAGGCGGCACGGTGGCGCAGTGGGTAGCGCTGTCGCCTCACAGCAAGAATGGCCTGGGTGACCAGGGTCATTTCTGTGTGGAGTTTGCCTGTTCTCCCCGTGTCTGTGCGGGTTTCTTCCGGGTTCTCCGGTTTCCTCCCACAGTCCAAAAACATGCAGTCAGGCTGATTGGACATGCTAAAATTGCCCCTAGGTGTGAGTGAGTGACTGTGTATGTCTGTCTGTCTGCCCTGCGATGGACTGGCGACCTGTCCAGGGTGTATCCTGCCTTCCGCCCAATGACAGCTGGGATAGGCTCCAGCACCCCACCGTGACCCAGAAGGATAAGCAGTTTAGATGATGTATGTATGTACCCAGTTGGCAAGATAGCCATCTAGGTGTTTTAAGAAACTGAGGTACCAGTTTAGGATGAGCTAATGTCAGATGGCTAATTCGACCTGTTAGTACCCATGTGTCAAACACAAGGCCTGCAGGCCAGATCAGGCCTGCCACACAATTCTATCCGGCCCGCAAAAGTATTTTAATTTTCTAATAACATTAGCCCGTTTTGCTGCACTACAGTTCCCAGCATGCACTGCAACATAATGTGCACTCTGACTAATGTGCGCAACTTCAACAGCAATCTATGGGACAGCAGTTACACTTCAATTCTGCGCAATTCCACACCAGTCATATCACCAAAATGCATTGCAGCTGCAGTTCAGCCAATATAAACACCTAACGTTAGCTTAGTAGCTCAGAAATTGAGCCCAAGTCTTAACGAACAAGCAGTAAAGAAAGGAGGCCAAGTGTCTGTTTCAAGCAGATAAGTAGGTTTAAAAAGACCTAGCTCCTGGGGATATTTAAATTTGGAATACTTCAAGTGTCTATGTAATATTTACTACTGCTACAGGTGTCTGTGTTTTAATGTTGATTTTTTTTTTCTATGGCCCGCAGACTTGATGAGATTTTTCAATATGGCCCTTCCACTGGTTGAGTTTGACACCCCTGTGTTAGTAGATAGTAGCAGTTTGCCAGTTAACCAACAGCTTGGCAGTCAGGTAACAAGAGTTTTTCAGCTAGCTAATAACAGTGTGCCAGTAAGCTAACAGCAGTTTCCCAGTTAATCACATGCACTATTATTTAAAGTAAATATGCAAATTTTGATTGCATTACAACAGACAGCCCACAATAAATTAATATTGATAGATTTTGAATCTGTTGTGTAGAAATAAAGAATGTCTTGAATCATGTCATCCAGGCAGAGAGAAAGTCTCCGTGACTCTCTGTGGAGAGACAGTGGATGCCCGTCAATTATCCGAAGCTTTGACGGGCAATCCGCAGACAGCCCTTGTCATTTTCCACATCGTTATGTGAGGTGGCGTCAACTGCTCTCTCCCAGCCCTGCTGCCTCCAGCCGCTTTTCATGGCTGACTGCATACCTGAGCTCCAGCCTCTAATTGAAGTATCTGCTACAACAGTGCGGTTTTTAAAGTGCCCTTTCTAGAATGACACTGCTGATCTCAAAGGAACAGTTTAGCAAAAAAAAAAATGACACAATTTATCCCTTACCCTAAATGTTGTTGATCAGCCATGACATATTTGATGCTTAAAGTTTGCTTAGCTTTGCACTGGGAAACTACAAGGATATTTAATTTTGCACATATGCTAACAAGCAAGTAGAGATGACAAGATTCCCCCTTTTTTCAAAGTATTGCCTGATACCGATACCAATCCAATATTTTTGTTTACAAACTGAGCTTCAAAATTAAGCATTTCACTTAAGAAACAGCAAAGACCAGCATGGGTGACCAGTACCAGCACCAGACTAGCATAAACCAGCAGAAAGTACCTTAGACCAGCGTGGAATTCATGCTCTAAGCTGTTTTTTTTTCAGCCATGGACATGACACAATGTGACTCAGCAGACAGTTTTGGCCAAATTCTGGCCAACTGTTAACTGAGTACTGGGCAGATGTCAGGCATGCGGGCCAGAATAGGGCCAGATGCCCAACAGCTTCATATGGTTTTGCCTCGTGTCCGTATTTGTGAGCTAATTTTGGTGTGAATGTTATGGACCAACAATGTAGTTGGGCCAGATTTGGGCCACATCCACTTCACAGTGTGAATATACTGGGCCAGAACAAACCCAGGGATCTGGTCCACAGACAAATTTTGCTGGGAGGTGTGCTATTTCAGGTTAGATTTGTTACAGGAGTGAATCAGATTTTTCATCTTCTATGTAATTCAGCATTTTCTGTTGATTAGCCCAATACTAATAGCCATCAATTTTGATATTCCATCTCATAGCAAATAATGGAAATGAGCTACAAAGGTCTGTTGCATAGCTAAAACAGCAGTGGCAGCAATACTGATAACAGAATGTCGTACAGTGTCAGAAACGACATCAGCAAATCTGTTTGAGATTACTTATCAAGTTAATGTGGTATGAGGCAAGATGATTTAGGCATGCAGTTTGCACAGTGTTAATTCATGCACATAAAGCTTCCATTATATTAGCATCGTAGCTCAAGTGAAAAATAAAGAAGCCTCAGACCCCAAACATGTGTTGTCTGTGTAAATAAGATTTTTACTGAACTCTTCTTTTAAAGCCCCCCACGAATCTGAACTATACCTGCTAATA